TTTAGAGTTAGGTTAGGTTAGGGTTAGGTTAGGGTTAGGGTTAGAGTTAGAGTTTTTTTAGAGTAAAATTGCGAAGAGAGCATTTTTGCTTAGTTATACAACAGGGTTACCCTAGTAAAATTTTAAGATATAAGCAATTTTATGAATATGGCTACATGTAACCATAGCTACAAATATATAATTCCTAATATTAAATAATAGTTTTAAAATAATTTTAGAACAATTTTAAAATTTTTACACTAAAAATTTATTGCAAAATAATCTTATAATTATATTAATATCATTATGATCTTAAGATATGATGGCAGCATAACAGGTACTAAAGTTAGTTACAAGGAGTTTAATGGTTAGCCCTGACCCCAAGTGTATGGGTTAAGCTATAGCGTAAATTTACTAAAGTCTGGGTGAGGCACAAGTGCCCCAGCAAATAGGCGAGCATAGCCTTCTATTAATTTGGAGGGGAACTTCTAGTAAGTTAGAGGCCAAAGGGAAGATAAATTAGTGGCTAGATGGTTACACATAGGCACCTTAGAGCAGCCATGTGATGCTTTACGCATGAATGGGGGTATGGTGGTCTGGGAACTACAACACTGCAGGGAGGGTATAGAAATATATAAACTAGGTTGCTGTACTACTTTGTAATATACTTAACTGTTCAGATGTAATAAAGTGATTACCGTTGAATCAACAAATAAATTAATATGCTATCTTTTCAATAATTATTATTTTTTTTAATTTTTCTGTGCTATTACAGCAATCGGAACACTAGTGAGATCTTTTTTATTAGGACTATTTATATTGTATTACATTGTAACTTTTTTTGTCTATATATAGCTATATGTGCTACTCTACTACATACTTTGTTTCCATATTACCCGCTTGTGAACTACCTTACCCATCTGGCAGTATTATTGGTGTCAGCTTCTGTGTTTACGGGTTCAGTTTTCCAGGCCTACTTTCATGTCACCAGGTGCTTTTTCCATCCATATTTACTTATCTTACTTGCTTCTAAGTTTACGGATTCAGGTGACCAGGCCTACTGTAGAGATTGAAATCGACCAATTGATTGGTCAATTCGATCATGATTGATCACGAAATTTTTTGTTTGATCTAATCGATCAAACTCAATGATCAATTATAGCCTTTTAATTGATTATAATCAATCAAAAAGCTATGATCAATCGATTACAATTAGAATTGGCCTTACCAGATTTGGAACACCTCTGGCATATACAGAACTTTCTGGCCAATAAGAAGTTGAAGCATGGAGGCATGTACGTGTTGATAGACCTAACAGGCTCTGGTTGTACCCATATAGGAGCCTTTGGTGTTAAGAGGACTCAGAAACACCAATATAGGTAGAGCTGGTATAAGTGTATGTAGTGGTAACTGGAGGCTACAACTGCTGTGAATCACTATAAAAAGAAACAATGATGCACCTGTTACCTCTGAGCCTCATGAGCCCTCCAACTATACTGACTACTAGAAGTATTTGTGAAAAATGCCTGGGTAGCCTTGTCACTATATTGAGAAGTATAGTTATTAGTACAGACCTAATTGATCTGGGTCCTGAAAGTCGCAGAAAACCAGCTAGTTACAGCAGCATGCAGGCTTAAAATCAGATAGAGGCAGCTGTATAGCTTGAAATACAAACTCCTGAAAAGTATGCCAAAAAAGGATTAAGAGAGAAATTGCTCTGCTAGGTATACCAAACTAGAAGCAATAAGTGCCTACCTGGTACACACCGATTTGGGAGTTAAAGATAAAAGGTTTGTGGGTAATGTGGTAGACATTAGTGTTCCAAACTGTTAAAATTTTACCAACTGGTTAGTTGGCAACTATAGTTGGCAACTAACCAGTTACGTAATCACGTGACTAATTTAACCGGTTAGTTGGTTAGTTGATTAGTTGGTTAAGTTGGTTAGTTGGTTAGTTGGTTGGTTGGTTGGTTATTGTATAAGATAGCTGTGTAGCATGTAATGCCACGCAGGACCAGTATGATCATACATACTCATATAGGTAGAAATCTTCAATTTGTGATTATTTAAGTTGAATGATGAGATTAAATAGGATTTGAGCCAATAAAATAAAATATATGATATAGTGTGATTACTAATATTAAAAGTGATTATTTGTCGATGATTGTAAAACTGTTTATGAGTTACTTAGGAGTTACTTATTAGTTTTTATAAGCAATATACCAAACAGATTAGCTAAAAAAACCAGAATGATCCAAAATTGATCCATTACTTATCAAAATTGATCTGTTACTTATCAGTTTTTATGAGTATAATCACCTAATTTTATATAGTCACAGCACTCACTAAAAATTTTCGCCTATATCAAAGTATATAAGATACTATAATATAACTTATATTTATTATTTATATGTATTACAAATTAATAAAGATACATATTTAATTTATATTATTTAATTTCTAACTCTAAACTCTATTTATAACTCTAACTTTAATCTCATTTTACCTTTTCCTAACCCTAACCCAATCTATTTACCATTCGTAACTTCACTAATCTGTTTTACCCATTCTTACCCATTTTGAACCCTAAACCCAATCCATAACCTAACTAACTAATGTACTAACCCTAGAGCTTAAGTAGTGCTTTTTTACAAGACCTGGCCAGGCCTTTTACATTTTATAAATTTTAGAACCTATAATAAACCCGGGTCTATAATGTAGCCAGCTTTGAATATATCTATATTTTGCAATTATATATAATTAAAAACCCCAATTTTATTACAGCTGTTTTTATAAATTCTGAAACAACTGAAAAAATTGCTGATAACTGAATCGATAAGTTTCTGAATTCAGCTGAATCTGTTGCTGACTCAGTAACTTATTGATTCGGTCATCAGAAATTTTTTCAATTGTTTCAGAATTTATAAAAACAGCTGTAAAAAAGATCTTAGTTTGAACCAATTATATAGTGAATCTATCATTGAGTGGTGATTTATAGCCAAATTATCTCACCTAAAATCCAAAGAAGCTAGTATGGTATTCTTGTACTAAGGTAGGTAAGTCTAGCACATCACCTTATTCTGTTTTGCAAAGTACATCCACAGATACTTTTTTTGCAAAATACATATATATAGTGCTTTTCCTCTTTCTGATCTAAGCTTGTTACTGGGAAAGTGTAAAAATTTAGCATGGTGTTCTTGCAAGTCTATTTGATGTGAAATGATCTGAAAAAGTCAATATAAAGTTCTTGCACTAGTACAAACAACAAAATTTATACTAACCTACAAGTAAGGAGCCTAATCCAAGACGACAAAAAACAGCAAGCAACAAAATCCACAACTACAGTAACCTTAGTAATGATGGCAACTATACATAGACGTAAAACTACCTAAATGGCAAAATCTACGTTTACAAGAACACCTAAATGGTGACGACACCTAAAGCGATGAGTTTATATTTATAGTAAAGCGGAAAAGTTAGCTAATGTTAGAAAAAAAATAAAAATAAAAAGCGATAATCATTATTTACTATATAATATCCCATTATATTACACAGGAACACAGATATGTATAAAAATTTTAATATACCTTTAGGGTATATAATGATAAATATTAATTCTTTTTTTATTAGTAAAAGACATTCTTATTTTATACCTGTCTTTGAAAGTTTTACAATCCTTCCTAACTGTGATATGATCTAAATTTAATATGTCTAATCAAATATTGTAAAAATGCAGAATCAGATTAACATAAAATTGACTAATATGTGAATAGTTGTGTAGTTAATTAACATAGGCAACTGGTTATTGTTACAAATCGGTTAGTTGATTAAAAAATTTTCTAACTGGTTAGTTGGAAAGTTGTCAACTATTCGGTTTTTCAACTAATGATTTGGAACACTAGACCAAATCAAAGAAGAAACTAGCAAAAACCCTAGTTAGTTGCATTTATATACAATAGTCAATGAATTAAATCTTCAAATTTAGAATAAACTGCTACAATTAGCAGATAAATGGCAGACACGTTCTAAAGCAAGTTGGGTGGAGCAGGGAGAAAAGTCAACGAGATACTTCTTCTCAAGATTCAAATCCTGTACAAACTCTTCTGCACTCAAGGACATCAAGGATTACAGAAACCCACCTTAGCTTAACAATGACCGAATCCTACAGTATATTAAAGAGCAATATGCAAAGCTTTACAAAGAAAAAAAGATTGACTTAGATGCGGCTACAACTTTGACAAATGGTCTTCCTACTATTTCTTCCTCTAAGAATGAGGAGCTCTCTCAGGAGATCACAAAAAAAGAAATAATTGAGACTATTAAAAAACTTCCAAACAATAAATCTCCAGGGCTAGATGGTCTTATATATGAGTTTTACAAACAAACCGAAAATGACATTGTCCCAGTCTTTGAAACAATTTATAATCAGGTCCTCCGATCAGGGTCTTTGCCTAACTCATGGCATAAAAACTTAATTACTCTTATTTCAAAGAAAACAACAGATTTGAATAACATAGATAACTGGAGACCTATCTCTTTGGTAAATTGTGATGCTAAAATCTTTATGAAGATTATAGCCACTAGATTAAATAGAATCTGTAACTTGGTTATTCCGGCACACCAACAGGGATTTATCTCAAAGAGATTAATTACAGATGCAGCACTAGATGCAATTACAGTAATGAGGAATCAATCTGATCTTACTAAGCAACATTGGCTGCTTTTAGTAGACCAGCAAAAAGCTTTTGACCATGTAGATCATACCTTCTTGCAAATGGTTCTTGAAAAGATGAACTTTAATCTGAAATTTAGAAATCTGGTGGGGAACTTGTTCGCCAATCAAGAAGCTCATATATTTAAATCAGGCATGCTATCAGAGCCGTTTAGAGTTGGAAGAGGGGTTAGACAAGGGGATCTCCTTTTACCATTACTATACATCCTGGCCTTCGAGCCCTTACTTCAGGCTATTGATAGGGACATTCAAGGTATACTCTTCCACAATCAGACATTCAAATCTATAGCCTATGCAGATGATCTTACAATAGGGGTTGGGAGCTCATCAGACTGGTTGAAAATACATAAACTGTTTGACCTATATGAAAGAGCCTCAAGTGCAAAAATTAATAATGGCAAGAAGAGTAAACCTCCTGGATGTAATTGATTTTAAGGTTATAGAAGAATCTGATACCTTTAAGTTACTAGGATATGAAATAGATGCAAATGGGCAGCCAAAGAAGGACTTATAGCCATCCACTATCACCAAACTCAAAGACATATTCTTCAAACTCGTGGCAAGAAATCTTTCTTTCAAAAGAAGGATCCCAATCGCAAAATCTCACATCTAGTATACAGTCTATATTCTCCCTTTAAGCAAAAAACAAGTATCAAAAATAAATAAGCTAATAGCTCTATGGACCAAGGGTAACTCCAAGATGCTCCCAAGATACTCAACCTATCAGCTTCCCTATGAAAAAATTTGTAAATACTTAATTTGTAAATAAAAAATTATTTATTAATCAATTATAATAAAAAGACACCACCAGTGTTCCAGCTGCCTTAGACAGTCTGAAAAATTTTTTTTTAAAAAAAAGCAAATGAAACAGTAAACTCAGGAGAGGTAGTATTAGATGATAAACAGGACCTTGAAATTTCAGTTGAAGATTTGTATCTGTTATGAGACTTAGCTGAAGTGTATTTTAATAATTATGCTAAAGCTAAAAGCTTCTCTTTACATCAAAAAAGGGTTGTGACAAATAGTAATAGTAAAATTAGATGTCATTTATTGTGTATACACATTCTGGAGAAACTGTTAGAAATCAAGTTGTTGATCTTTCAAAGCAGCAGAATTGAGGTTCAGAAAAAATATCATGTGTACAGTCGTTCCTCCATATAGTCACCTCCTATATAATCACATCATATGTAATCACATTTTTATTTGGACCAAAGTATAATTTAATTTATAAAAAAAAACCTCCATATAAGCACAACTCCTCTATAAGCACATTTTAAAAAAAAGTTACTATGTGCCCAACTGTGTGATTGTATGGGAGGACGACTGTATAAATTATACTGTAATTATTTCTCATTATAATTTTCCATATACAGTACAATAAGTTATGTATATTTTTACCATAAGCCGTTCATGGGCATTTTCTATCTATGCAATACTGCATCCATTCTATTTTGCACAATTAATTTAATAGGAAAACAAAAAAGAACATCAACTAAGGTTATTGAGATAATTTACTCATATTTTGTATATTTACCGCCCACATTATCCTTATTTTATTTGCTCGATCAATTTAATAGACAGCAAAAGGAGTTATTACGTATTAAACAGGTATTTAAGATGAGACGATCATTATGAGTATTCACTACGTATTACACATTACTCTATTTATAATTAAAAATTTGAAAAGCTATTTAAGTCGTAAGTACTTAGCATCCACAAAACTTCATCTGTTCTATTTTATTTACACTAATTTAGTAGGTCAACAAAGAAAAATAAATAAATAAATAAAAAAGTCATTATCATCTACGATTTTTAATTATATATTTAAATTTTAATAGCTCAGGCAACATTACATGTTACGACGTGCAACATAATGACACCATAATAATTTAATTCGAGATTTAATTAAAGTTGTATTCCTTTATTTGTCAGCCATTCTTGAACTTTTTTGTTATCCAATGAAATTCCTATACCGTTTTGGCAATATCTGATAAGGTTTGTTTTTCCAACATTACATCCTCCTTCTGCAGATCTTAAATACCATTCAAAAGCCTTCTTCTTATTTACGGAAGTTCCTATACCATATTCATAACAATAACCAACTGCGTTTAGTCCCGAGCTATAGCCTCCCTCTGCTGACCTTAAATACCATTCAAAAGCTTTCTTTTCATCTGTAGAAATTCCTCTACCAGATTCATAACAACGACCAGTGTAATATTGCGCAATGCAATATCCTCCTTCCGCAGATTTTACATAGTATTTAAAAGCCTTTGAATAATTTAAGTATTCATAATAATAACCAATATTGAAATATCCATAATAATTTCCATTTTTAATTGATTTCACGTACCATTTCAAAGCCTCTTCTTTGTTAGCAGAAGTTCCTTTACCATACATAAGGCAACTTCCAACTTCATTTTGTGCTCTTGCATTTCCCTCTTCCGCAGATTTTAAGTACCAATTAAATGAGTGAGATAGATTTTTAACAGTATCATAACCATTTTCGTAACAATATCCAATATAAAATTTTCCGATATTTGAATTTGAATCATTGAAAACTGATTTTAAAAATAAATTTAATGCCTTTTGTTGATTTGTCATTACACCTTTTCCATGAAGATAAAGTAAACCAAGAGAAATTAATCCAATAAGCTGATTTTCTTTTAATAAGTCATCAAACTTATTTAAAGAATCAAAAATTTCGGCTGCTTGTTTATACATTTCAAATGCTTTATTGTAATCAGCTATTGTTCCAATTCCATATTCATAAAAGAATCCAATAATGCTTGTAAAATAATATATATACTTGTAATTATTGTATTGATCAAGAATTTCTTCTGGCTTTTTGTTATTTTTAGCCATATAATTTTTTAAAAAATAGATTATGGAACTTTCTGAATGGTCTCCAACACCTTGTATATTAAATTGAGTAATAAATAATTGGTTTAAATCATAAAGAAATTTCTGCTCGTCGTCGTCAAAATTATTTTTTTTACTTTGATTGGCTAAAGAAAACGAATTTGCTGTGGTAATATTTAAAGATGATAAGGAACTCGTTAAATATGATGAATTATTTTGATTATTAACTATACTATTTTCACTTAAAACTTTCATAATTGAAGAAATTATTATTAATTCTTTTTCTGTCTCATCATGCAATTTAGTATAATAATTTATTAATTCTGATGAATCTGAATACTTTATTTCTGATATTAATTGATATTTATTCTCGATCTTCTCATATTCAATAAATATTTTCTCATCAGCAATTTTATCATTAGAGTTGATCTTATCTAAATCATAATAAATACGTTGAATAGTTGGTCGTCGATTTGAATCATGCTGCCAACATTCTAAAGAAATAAATATTTAAATTAACTGAATATTTTATTGTTAATCCATATAAAAAATAATAAAAAAGTACTCACCCATATAAATATTTGCGTAATGCTTAGGCGTTCCAGGTACTGCAACTTCACGTTTACCATTAACAATTTCATTAAGTAAAGTAGAAATGCAGTATAATTCACTTTTAAATGGAATAATTCCACTTGAAATCTCCCAAAGAAGAACCCCAATACCATATATATCTGAGCTTTTGTTGAGTTTGTAAGTCTCAATATTTTGTAAATATTGAGGATCCGTATATTGAATATATTTAAATATACTCGGAAATTTGTTCTGATCTTGAAATATATGAATCTTAATATCTCCTTTATTGATAAATATTTTTCTGGAATTCTAAATAATTAAAATAATAAAATTAACTTTATATTTACTGTATAATTGTTTAAAAATTCAAATAAAAACGCACCAAGTTTAAATGAACTATGTCATTATCATGTAAACATTTTACGGCACTAACAAGCTGTTTTGCAAGGCGTAATTTTTCATACCAACTAATTTTGTTAAAGTTTTGTTTTAAATATTGACGAAGTGATCCGTTAAAAGCGTACTCATGAGTAAATATAATTTCATTTACGCTTTGCTTAATAACCGCAATAAATTTTAAAATGTTTTCGTGTAAGCTTATTTTCTGATATTTTTTCAGCTAGATAATAAACATATTAAGATTATTTTATGATAATAAATTTACACTAAATTATTTTTTACTAGAAATCGGAAATCATAAACTTACATCATTAACAAAATCTTTTAAAGTATACTTTTGAAAAAAAACAAGCTTGCATAAGACCATAGTTTTATTATACTTTTTTGAGAAAACTTTACAGCTACTATTAGACATCATTGTACCATCTGTCTCAAGTTCTTCTAAATTATATGGAAGAAATGTATTGTGATATTGATTTTGATATTGTTCAAAATTATTTGTCCAATCCTCCATTTTCAAAATGCTTCACTTTAATTGTCGAAACATGCTTAAATATCAAGATTATTGTTGCAATGAATTTAGCCATCTGTGGCACTTTAGTCGCTGCAAGTGTTACAGTAAAATTCTGGAATTTTCCGGCAAACATTGAAACTACTAAATTAGTAATCGCTGCGGTACGTGAAATTTCTCTAATCTAAGTGTTATACATGCCGCATAAATTAGCTTCGGCTGCGGCGAAAGCCGCAAGTCATAATTTATGCCGCAATCCGAAACAAATGCCGAAATCCTAAACATATGTCATAATCTAAATTAATTGCCGCAATTTGTTTTATAATAAAAATATACTTTTTTTTTTTACATCAATTATATTTTATACTTTTTTTACTTTCGGCGTTATATTGATTATGGTTTTTACTTTCGGCATTATATCAATTGTATTTTATTACTTTCGGCATTACCTCAACATTTATGGCATTAGTTATGATTTTAGGCATTGGTCATAAGTTGCGGAATTTTAGATTTAGGCATTGCCGCATGTCAAAATTCCGGTAAAAATTATGCCACAATAATTTCTACGGCATGTATACTAAGTGTTTAGCATTCTCCCATTTTAAATAGCATCTAGAAATTTTTACCTTTTTCCTCCGTGACTTGATCGTTAATTTTTCTTTGTTGTACTATAAAAGCTGACTTAATTTTAATTTTGGCTTTGTTTTGTGAAGAATTTTTTTTAAAAAAAACAAAGATAGAAAATTGACAGCTTATTAATTAACAATGATTAATAAAGAATTGAATCCTTGTAAGCTTAAAATCCTGGAAATCTGATAAAAATTGGACGAATGATTTTTCAGTAGATTCGATTAAGTTTGTGATTTCGACATTATCTGTATAGTAAAAATTATTTTTGTATCACTAATATACAGATTGTTTTGAATGCTTATCCAACATGTTTGTGTGTCAATAAGTCTTAACAGGAAATATAAAAAAGGCACTATAAATTAATTAGACTTTATAATAAACATATTGCGTGAATTGGAGTACATGCTAAAAGAAGAACTTGCTTTTAAGTAAAATATTACTTTTATTTGTATATACATACAAATTGGTTCGTAGCCCTTCAAATTGTCATAAGACTAATTCCATCTCGGATCATAATTCATACAAATACCAGCCAGGTATTTTTCATTAAAGTTTTAAATATTTTGTATTA